TTCATGGCTCGCTTTCCTCTGCTCAGCTCCATGGAAAAAGAGGAAGTTCGCTTTCCTCTGCTCAGCTCCATGGAAAAAGAGGAAATCCGGCAGAGGATGAGGAATTTCAGAAAGGGAAAGATGCGCATTTAGCGTCGCGAACTTTACTTCGCCAAAATGGCGTATTTCGGAAAACGATGGCAGCTCGAACTTTAGATTCCCCATTCGTATTCATTTTAGATAACTTTTTTATTAGTTTTCTTTTTAATTGTATGCTAACAGGACATGACCAGCACTATCATGGTTACTTATTTGGACTCTGGGTCTTGAGTAGAATCCTTGTACAATAAGCGTTCTAGCTAATGATCAAATATTCATATACGATATCGGGAAATGAATATGCCATTTCCATAGCTTGATTAATAAAGTAATGTATGTGTATGTTTATGTGCTTATGTATACACTATATGATGTGCATCTATCTGCATATACGTATGTGCATATACGTAGATATCTATATACATATATATACTTACCCGCACATACATATGTATATTCATGGTATATGTATTGGATTTCGAAGCTTATGGCACAGGGATCGAGACAGAGGGTCATGGACTCAGTGGGAGGGAGGTGGCTTTGCGACCACAAGGTCCTAGGTTCGTACCCAGCCAGAAACTTGCCACTGTATTGGTGTAGGCTTCACATTATCCTTATTCTTAGCATAACACATTTTCGCACAAGGTTTTGGGTATATAACTACTATGTAAATAGCTCAGCCTTTGTCTCGCTTCTCTGACTATCGCAACACACGTTTTCTCAAGACTTTCCACGCCAAACTTGCTATAAATTTCCCAAGACGTCTGCTGGTCCTACACCACTACCAAGATGCCTGTTCCTGCCAGACGCGATTGTCTGCTCTCTGCCTGTACTTCCGGCCACGTTGCAACTGGGTCATCCCACGGCTTAGTACATATGGTCCTCTCGAAAATGTTCCTTGGGTGTGCGTGTGTATGTGTGTCCCATATTTGGTGCACACAAGCCATTCCATAGAAAACAAAACACTAGACGAAATTCCAATCAAAGTTTATTGCTCAAATGCCACTTGTGCATTTCAGAGATGAGATGTTAAACCAACAGAGAACAGTTCTTCGTGACATCCACAGGAGGAAATGACAAAGAAAAGAATAAAAAAACAAAAGCAAGAAAGAGTAAACGGTCATGCACGCAGTTCTTCAACAGTCGGTTCAGAGTTCGTGTCATGCGCCATGCACACGCTGGGGCATGACTCAGACGGGCACACATATTTTCCTTTGGGAACAGCCGTCTGTGCAGCATTTCTTGCCCGGTGGACACTGGTCATCGTGGTAGCAGTACTGCAAGAGAGGAGGGAGAGTGCGTGAGAGATGACTCGCTTTTCTCTACAAAGAAGGAAAGGAAGAGACCGATGAAGAGGAATTGCAGGAAAGGAAAGATGCGCGTTTGTCGAGGAAATTTGCTTTTTTCAGAATGACGTATTCATGAAGATACCAGTTTGTCAACAGTTGAAAATGATTCAACCCCATTCCTATCTTCCTATGAAACTAATTGCATGCAAAAATCATCAATTACCATAAATTTGCAATATAAACATACTAGATTAAATATTTATATCTATGTTGCTATTATGAAATAATGGTTCTTTATGAATGTCCAGTCATAATCATTATTTTCCATTATGATAAATTTGCAAGGTAATAATTCTTGAATTTTGAGCTCGACACCCGTAAAGGAAGAAATTATTCATATGAAAGAAAAATAATGATGAAACCCAAAATCAAAGTAGAAACTAAACCAAACCAACAAAAACAAAGAAACTTCAATTTTTTTTTTTCACATTCATCCAACTCCGGCAGCTGGAGAGTCCGAAATCTCTCACCAAGGTGGAGGAGGAGCGAAAGGGACCCGGAAATACTTACGGGGAAGAAAAACAGCCGCAAAAAAAAAAAAAAAAAAAATCGACTTATTTCCATTTCTTACTGTGGCTGTTTTCCTTTTCAACTTTGTGTACACGTCCCTGTCTGTGCGCTTGTGTTCACTTACGATGAACTCGAAGAAGTCGTAGCACGGAGCGGGGTTGGGGCAGCGGGGGGGAGGCGGGGGATCTGTTGGAGAATAATTGGATTGGAAATGAATTGGAGGGAATGAGTGTGTGACATGCAAACACTTTACAGATGAATAGAAATTATTTCAATGGGATGTACCTCTGTATTTGCAAGTACCTCTTAATCGCTTATCTATGTATCTTGATTTGTATCTCTCAGAATATAAAGAATCAACCCTATAGTCTCACTCCTTAAAGTAAGCGTTTCTTATATAAAATCTACCTCTTTACCTACCTATGCAACACAAAGGTCAAAGGTCACAGGTCACTCACCACAGCACACGTGAGTCTTCCCCGGAGTCTGGCAGTAACGAGAGCACTTGTGCTCGCCATGGCTGCCACGACGCAGGCAGCGAGAAGGACAACGAAGCGAAGGCGCAACTGCAATGCAAGTTCATGTTAGGATCACAAGTTTCTTCGGATCACTTATTTATAAATTATACCAAAATGCCAAACGGGAAATCGCTCTCAGTGCATATTTCGAAGGAAAATTAACATTTTCTAAAGACTGAAGTTATCCAGGTTAACCATAATAAAGCTTTAGAGAATTCATTAAAAATAAATAAATAAATAGATCGACGAAATAGAAAATAGATAATGAATAAAGATAAAGTCATCTTGGAGAGCAGCCAACCATCGCGTAGAATCAGAATGTGTCGTGTCTACAGGAGGCTGCAGGACGAACTGTTGATGCGGGCAGGAAACGGGCTTTTTATAGGCCTCCAAAGTGCGTGCAGTTGCCAGCATAGCCAGTGGCAACAGCATGAAGGTGAGCCGTCAGTGGTGCTGCTGACCGCAGGCATGTTGATAGCTTAACGTCTTCATACATGCATACATACTGAATTACATATACATGCATAGAAGACACAGACACACACGCACACGCACATATCTATATATTTACTTTTCCATTTGTTTATCAATCTATTTATCCATCTGTCTATATGTATATGTACACGCATATATTTATATATTATGTATATACATATATATACACAGTATATTGTATGTGTGTGTATTTAAGTGTATACACACACACATCACGCAGGAAATGAAACGAGATAAATTCGGCCTCTTCAACCCCGTGAAGTGAGGTGGTCTTGCATTATTCTTTCTGAAGGTCACGTTGCTTGCAGGCGAGCTTGAATCAGCGCGAGGATACGCTTTCAAAATGAAATTCTCCTATTTCGCTTTTTTAAAATATGATAATTCTGTGTTTAGCCTTGTCTGTATACATCTATGTACGTATATATTTTTTTTGTTTTTTTCTCTGTTCTAATTTCTTCTTTGGTTTTCCTTTTGTCTTGCTGCTTATCTGCCTTTTGTAAATAATTTGATAATTAGATCTGAGTTTAGCCTTGCCGTGACTATATCCTTATCTATTTTGTTTTTATCCTTCTATTTTTTGGTATCGGTCTCTTACGTTTCTAATCTGCTTCCATTCTTATCTTCTCTTTCATTTCTCTTTTTATTTATCTTTCTTCCCGTTTTCTATTTGTTTTCTCGAACTAATCCCTTTTATATTATTTTACTTAGCATTTGTGTTGGTCTTTTTTCCTTCTTCATTTCTGTTGTTTGTTTTGCCTTTCTTTTATTCTCTCGATGTAATAAAACAATAACAAATATCTAAATCAATAAAAAGTAAGTTTGTAAAGATAATTCAGGCTAAATAGAAGTGATGAAATTGTATATTTACACACACACACACACACACACACACACACACACACACACACACACACAATATATATACATATATATATATATATATATATATATATATATATATATATATATATATATATATATATATGAAAGATGGAATAATATTACCGTTTTTTTCATGAATATTTTAACCAGACCACTCGAACAACGACCCACTAAAATGAGTGAGCAACTAGGAGCTTACTAGCATCCAAGAGATTACTTACTTCCTCATTCATGAGGAAGGATAACGATGTGTGTGAGTGCCTGTGTGCGTGCGTGTGTATACATATCTATCTTTATATATTTACTTACACACACACACACACACATATATATATATACATATACATACGTACACACACAACACACACACACACACACACACACACACACACACACACATATATATATATATATATATATATATATATATATACATATATATATATATATATATATATATATATATATATATATATATATATACAGACACACGTATATATAAACACATATATGTATATAAGTATTTTACGGCCATGAGCTTGTTTAAAATTAAGTAATCATGAATGAATATTCCATATAAAAGAAAAGAGAAAGGATAACGTAAATTCGTAAACAAAAACATGAATGATATACGCGGGGACAAACGAACACAATAATTGAATAAATTGACGTCTATTTACTTACTCTGAGAAAAAAGATAAAACATAATAAATTTTGCAATGTGAGGACAATAATGATATGATAGAAAAAACACAAATATGACAATATACCAATTAAAAAATGGTTAAGGCAGGGGTATGAGATGTGAGTTACGAGTGTGTGTTACGTAAGTTTGGTCTCGGTGTGTGATTTTGTTTCTTGTGCTTTTAAAGCAGTGGCTGACAGAAAGAAATTTTGTTAGTGTATTAGTGATGTGTGTTCAATAAGAAAACAGCAATTCATATGTAAAGTGTGGGCAGGTATATGGAGGGCAATAGTTAATAAAATACACTTACTTTAATGGTGAGGAAGTATTGGTGGTGGAGGGTAGAAGTGACATTATGGCTGTGCTGACGAGGGTTTGCAAAAAAGTGACGAGGCAGGTGAGCCAGATTAGCGTGTAGTGCGAGAATATATCTTCAGCAACTTCGTCAGGAGAGTAGCACACGCATGAGTAATCAGCACCTAGTAGGGTAAACATGGTGCGTGTAGGCATGGGTTAGAAGAGTTCGGCCGAACGAGAAGCTCGTCCTCACCGACTCTCTCTCTCTCGCAGTCTTGCTCCGTCGACAGCGACTGTCCCCGGGACGAGAAGTGTTGCGAAGACACTTGCAATGCAGGGAAGATCTGCATTTCAGTGCACGGTCTGAGACACTAGTTCTGTTACAATTTTGGTTGCAATGGACTCTCTTTGGCAATCGTTTTTATGGAAGGATGATGGTATTACTTCTTTTCATTAGAAATTAATTTGTACATGAGGCTTTTTGGCTAGTAAACATTAATGTATATAAATATGCAAATTCTCTTTTTCTGTATATATATACATACACAGACATGCATATACATATTTATGTGTGTATAAACATATCTATATATGTATGTATATATACACATTCATATATATAAATATATATATGTGTGTGGATGTGTGTTGTTCTCATTGCAATTTGTTCGACATGAATTCCACACATATGTGTATGTTTACGTATATTTGTATGTATATGTATATATATATATATATATATATATATATATATATATATATATATATACTTACACTTGTGTGATTGTTCACATACACACACATATATGTATATATATACTCAAATATGCAGTAATATACATATATGTATGTATATATTATTTATATATGAATATATATATTATATATATATATATATATATATATATATATATATTGTGTGTGTGTGTGCGTGTGTGCATGCACGAACGCAGTCGTGTATCACAGTAGTTTTCGACCAGTAAGCTATTTCAAGGAATTATAAATGATCAACGAAATTGCAATCCGGTTAATTGGTGAAAACGCTTTTGCAAATTTCAGAAGATATATTACACCAACAAAAGAGAGTTCTTTCTTTTAGCCACAGAGAAAGGAAGAGAAGAATCAGTGAAAAAAAGAAGCAGATAACCCAACATCTGCAGCTCTTGAGCAGTCGGCCCACTGCATATATATTCATGTGTGTATATGTGTTTTAGTAATGTACACACTGTTTATTATTAATAATAATAATTTCTGCTTTCCAACATCATGACCTTGCTAAATGCGCACTGCATCTCCACTCAGGCCGCCTATAAAAAGGCGGATCTTCCCTTCGGTAGCAACACCTTCCTCGGTCCTGCTTGGAGAAACCACTCACCCTCTCCCGTCGCGATGGTTGGTCACGCTCACACTTTACGTTTTTTACTTATTTCAAAGAATGTCGAGCTGATATTTCAAAAGATTGTAGATTTGCATCTTATTATCAAATAGGGAAGTGATTACAATATTTTTTATGTTTGTGGACAATTATATTTATTATATTATTATTATCATTTTAGTTGCACCTTCGTCTTGTTGTATTTGTGGCTGTGTGCCTCGCTCTGTGCGCTTCAGAGAGACTCAGCTGCAAGAACTATTGCCCTGGCCCCTACGGAGACCAGTACGCATGCTGTGGTGAGTGGAATTCCATCGCAATTAAGAAATCACTATTCCATGTTAATTATTATTTGTTATCTCATATACTAGATTTCTGTTATAGCTTGCTGTAAATTCTTCCTCGTATTCCCTGATTACAGTGGATTATTCTATCACATTTTGCACTTTTTTCCATCCAATTTTTATCATTCCTTTCGTTAACAAGACCCGAAGCCTGGGACTTGCCCGTCGCCTCCAAGGTGCACCGACATCTTTGACGGCAACGTTCCTGTGAGTAACATTCGCTGATCGTTTGGAAGTTTGGTTCTATATACAGGGATAGAATAGGATGGCTGATATATAGATAGATAAATAGATACTTAGATAAAAAGAGTGACAGATAAGCAAATAGTAAGAAAGTTAGATATGCATACTTATATGCATACATACGTACGTAGAAAGATAGATGCATAGATAACAAATTGACACACATATAAATATGTATATATATGCACACACGCACACATAGACACACACATATATATATGCATATACATATGCACTCATGTTTATTCATATATCTATCTATCTCTATATACATACATATATATATATATATATATATATATATATATATATACATATATGTATATATATATATGTTGTACGTGTATTTTTATGTATATGTATTTATCTATATGTATGTATGCAAATGTGTGTGTATATATATATATATATATATATATATATATATATATATATATATATATATATATATATTCACACACACACACATATATATATGGAAGCATTTTAAACCCGACACCGCCTCTCTCTCTCTCTCGCAGTTTTGCTACGTCGACAGCGACTGTCCCCGGGACGAGAAGTGTTGCGAGGACGCTTGCAATGCAGGGAAGATCTGCATTTCATTGCACGGTCTGGGAAACTAGTTTTGTTGCAGTGTCGGTTGCAATAGACTCTCTTTGGCAATAAAGTTTATGGAAGGATAATGCTATTATTTCTTTTCATTAGAAATAAATTTGTACATGAGGCTTTTTGGCAAGTAAACATTAATATAATAAATATAGAATATTCACGTTTTCTTTTTCTAAATGTATATACACACACATATGTATATATATATATATATATATATATATATATATATATATATATATATATATATATGGATGTGTTGTGTATGTTTGTATGTATATTCATATTCATATATACGTATACATGTGTGATTTTGTATACACACACATACATACATATATATAGATGTGTGTATGTGTATGATATATATATATATATATATATATATATATATATATATATATATATATATAGATATAGATATACATATATACATTTATATGCATATATATGTATATATAAATGTATCACAGTGGTTTTGTACCAGAAATCCAAACGCTAAACGAGATTCCAATCCGATTTATTGTTGAAAAACGATTTTGCATATTTCAGAAGGGATATATTAAACCAAGAGAAGAAATTTATTTGTTCTAGCCAAAGAGAAAGATAAAAAAAAAAAAAAAAAAAAAAAATCAAAGGAAAAAGAGGTTGAATGCCCAACACACGCAGCTCCTGAGCAGTCGGTCCAGCGCTTTCCTTATGACTGTGCCCGGAACAGGCTTCTGGGCAGCATCTGTGGCCCCGTCGACACTGGATGTAGAAGCAGCAGAGCTGCAAAGGAGGAGGTATATATATATATATATATATATAGGTTTATTAAAAGAAAAGCTTACATCTAAAAAGACGTGCGTCAGAAATGGCTCGCTTTCCTCTGCTCAGCTCCATGGAAAAAGAGGAAATCCGGCAGAGGATGAGGAATTTCAGAAAGGGAAAGATGCGCATTTAGCGTCGCGAACTTTACTTCGCCAAAATGGCGTATTTCGGAAAACGATGGCAGCTCGAACTTTAGATTCCCCATTCGTATTCTTTTTAGATAACTTTTTTATTAGTTTTCTTTTAATTGTATGCTAACAAGACATGACCAGCACTATCATGGTTACTTATTTGGACTCTGGGTCTTGAGTAGAATCCTTGTACAATAAGCGTTCTAGCTAATGATCAAATATTCATATACGATAATGGGAAAATGAATATGCCATTTCCTTACCTTGATTAATAAAGTAATATATATGATGTTTATATGCCTATGTACAAAAAAATATATATATACGTTTGTGTGCATCTATCTGCATATACGTATGTGTATAGATATCTATATACATATATATACTTACACACATATATATATGTATACATGTATATGCATGGTATATATATTGGATTTCTAAGCTTGTGGCACGGGAATTGAGACAGAGGGTCATGGACTCAATGGGAGGAGGTGGCTTTGCGACCACAAGGTCCTAGGTTCGTACCCAGTCAGAAAATGGACACTGTATTGGTGTAAGCCTCACTTTATCCTTATTCGTAGGTTAAGACATTTTCGCACAAGGTCTCGGGTATATAAATACTATGTAAATAGCTCAGCCTTTGTCTCGCTTCTCTGACTATCGCAACACACGTTTTCTCAAGACTTTCCACGCCAAACTTGCTATAAATTTCCCAAGACGTCTGCTGGTCCTACACCACTACCAAGATGCCTGTTCCTGCCAGACGCGATTGTCTGCTCTCCCTGTACTTCCGGCCACGTTGCAACTGGGTCATCCCACAGCTTAGTACATATGGTCCTCTCGAAAATGTTCCTTGGGTGTGCGTGTGTATGTGTGTCCCATATTTGGTGCACACAAGCCATTCCATAGAAAACAAAACACTAGACGAAATTCCAATCAAAGTTTATTGCTCAAATGCCGCTTGTGCATTTCAGAGATGAGATGTTAAACCAACAGAAACAATTCTTTCGTGAAGGAGGAAATGACAAAGAAAAGAATGAAAAACAAAAGCAAGAAAGAGTAAACGGCCATGCACGCAGTTCTTCAACAGTCGGTTCAGAGTTCGTGTCATGCGCCATGCACACGCTGGGGCATGACTCAGACGGGCACACAAATTTTCCTTTGGGAACAGCCGTCTGTGCAGCATTTCTGGCCCGGTGGACACTGGTCATCGTGGTAGCAGTACTGCAAGAGAGGAGGGAGAGTGCGTGAGAGATGACTCGCTTTTCTCTACAAAGAAGGAAAGGAAGAGACCGATGAAGAGGAATTGCAGGAAAGGAAAGATGCGCGTTTGTCGAGGAAATTTGCTTTCTTCAGAATGACGTATTCATGAAGATACCAGTTTGTCAACAGTTGAAAATGATTCAACCCATTCCTATCTTCCTATGAAACTAATTGCATGCAAGAATCATCAATTACCATAAATTTGCCATATAAACATACTAGATCAAATATTTATATCTATGTTGCTATTATGAAATAATGTTTTTTTTTTATGAATGTCCAGTCATAATCATTATTTTCCATTATGATAAATTTGCAGGGTAATAATTCTTGAATTTTGAGCTCGACACCCGTAAAGGAAGAAATTATTCACATGAAAGAAAATTAATGATGAAACCCAAAATCAAANCATTTCGCACAAGGTTTTGGGTATATAACTACTATGTAAATAGCTCAGCCTTTGTCTCGCTTCTCTGACTATCGCAACACACGTTTTCTCAAGATTTCCACGCCAAACGATATAAATTTCCCAAGACGTCTGCTGGTCCTACACCACTACCAAGATGCCTGTTCCTGCCAGACGCGATTGTCTGCACCCTGTCTGTACTTCCGGCCACGTTGCAACTGGGTCATCCCACGGCTTAGTACATATGGTCCTCTCGAAAATGTTCCTTGGGTGTGCGTGTGTATGTGTGTCCCATATTTGGTGCACACAAGCCATTCCATAGAAAACAAAACACTAGACGAAATTCCAATCAAAGTTTATTGCTCAAATGCCACTTGTGCATTTCAGAGATGAGATGTTAAACCAACAGAGGACAGTTCTTCGTGACATCCACAGGAGGAAATGACAAAGAAAAGAATTAAAAAACAAAAGCAAGAAAGAGTAAACGGTCATGCACGTAGTTCTTCAACAGTCGGTTCAGAGTTCGTGTCATGCGCCATGCACACGCTGGGGCATGACTCAGACGGGCACACATATTTTCCTTTGGGAACAGCCGTCTGTGCAGCATTTCTTGCCCGGTGGACACTGGTCATCGTGGTAGCAGTACTGCAAGAGAGGAGGGAGAATGCGTGAGAGATGACTCGCTTTTCTCTACAAAGAAGGAGAGGAAGAGGCCGATGAAGAGGAATTGCAGGAAAGGAAAGATGCGCGTTTGCCGAAGAAATTTGCTTTTTTCAGAATGACGTATTCATGAAGATACCAGTTTGTCAACAGTTGAAAATGATTCAACCCCATTCCTATCTTCCTATGAAACTAATTGCATGCAAAAATCATCAATTACCATAAATTTGGAATATAAACATACTAGATTAAATATTTATATCTATGTTGCTATTATGAAATAATGGTTCTTTATGAATGTCCAGTCATAATCATTATTTTCCATTATGATAAATATGCAAGGTAATAATTCTTGAATTTTGAGCTCGACACCCGTAAAGGAAGAAATTATTCATATGAAAGAAAAATAATGATGAAACCCAAAATCAAAGTAAAAACCAAACCAAACCAACAAAAACAAAGAAACCAATTCATTTTTTTTTTTCACATTCATCCAACTCCGGCAGCTGGAGAGTCCGAAATCTCTCACCAAGGTGGAGGAGGAGCGAAAGGGACCCGGAAATACTTACGGGGAAGAAAAACAGCCGCAATAAAAAAAAAAAAAAATCGACTTATTTCCATTTCTTACTGTGGCTGTTTTCCTTTTCAACTTTGTGTACACGTCCCTGTCTCTGCGGTTGTGTTCACTTACGATGAACTCGAAGAAGTCGTAGCACGGAGCGGGGTTGGGACAGCGGGGGGAGGCGGGGGATCTGTTGGAGAATAATTGGATTGGAAATGAATTGGAGGGAAGGAGTGTGTGACATGCAAACACTTTACAGATGAATATAAATTATTTCAGTGGGATGTACCTCTGTATTTGCAAGTACCTCTTAATCACTTATCTATGCATCTTGATTTATATATCTCACAGAATATAAAGAATCACCCCCATAGCCTCACTCCTTAAAGTAAGCTTTCTTATATAAATCTACCTCTACCTACCTGTGCAACACAAAGGTCAAAGGTCACAGGTCACTCACCACAGCACACGTGAGTCTTCCCCGGAGTCTGGCAGTAACGAGAGCACTTGTGGCTCGCCATGGCTGCCACGACGCAGGCAGCGAGAAGGACAACGAAGCGAAGGCGCAACTGCAATGCAAGTTCATGTTAAGATCACAAGTTGCTCTTCGGATCGCTTATACTTATAAATTATACCAAATTATGCCAAACGGGAAATCGCTCTCAGTGCATATTTCGAAGGAAAATTAACATTTTCTAAAGACTGAAGTTATCCAGGTTAACCATAATAAAGCTTTAGAGAATTCATTAAAGATAAATAAATAAATAGATCGACGAAATAGAAAATAGATAATGAATAAAGATAAAGTCATCTTGGAGAGCAGCCAACCATCGCGTAGAATCAGAATGTGTCGTGTCTACAGGAGGCTGCAGGACGAACTGTTATTGCAAGAAGGAAACGGGCTTTTTATAGGCCTCCAAAGTGCGTGCAGTTGCCAGCCTAGCCAGTGGCAACAGCATGAAGGTGAGCCGTCAGTGGTGCTGCTGACCGCAGGCATGTTGATAGCTTAACGTCTTCATACATGCATACATACTGAATTACATATACATGCATAGAAGGCACAGACACGCGCGCACACGCACATATCTGTATATTTACTTTTCCATTTGTTTATCAATCTATTTATCCATCTATCTACATGTATATGTATACGCATATATTTATATATTGTGTATATATACACATATATATATACAGTATATTGTATGTGTGTGTGTATTTAAGTGTATACACACACACACACGAACACAAACACACGCA